AAAAAAAAATGAGGATACAGCTTCATTTGTCCTCTTTATGGACATGTCTTCAAAAATATGGACACTTTAAAATTGGCCGTATGAAAATCAATTGGAGTGAACATTGCATCGAATTAGACCTACAATACAGGAAAGAGCAAATGTAGGAATTTTTTTAGACTCGGAATAATCTAGAAAACTGATTGGATTTGATGAAAATTTTGTATTTTACAGACCCCTATAAGTTATAAATGCATAAAATCTGCAGTCTAATTATTATTATTATTATCATCATATTACTGTCGTTGTTGTTGAGTTTCACATTATGTTAAAGAATTATGTAATAATGGTTTTGTGTCCCTGTGCAATTGAGCTGAATGTTGTGTTGTGGTTTACATAATCTGCAAAAAGATACCCCTTGATGTAAATTGACATAACTCTAGCACACTAATTTGAGAAACATAGAATTATAGAAAACCTAGCCGCTGTGTTACCTTCGTGTTTCGTATTTTTGTTGTAACATTTCAACAAAACGTTCCTGCTTACGTGTTTAATCTTTTTATTGTGAAATAGGCATAAATCCCATATAATATATTCTGTATACATATGTATATGTGGATTTAGAGTTCAGTATTCAGTGGATATCGGACGTTCCATTAGTGATTCTTTTCTCTAATTTTGGTCGTTGAATTCAGAGGATAGTCTTTATTATACATACTTCCACTGATATTCTATTGACGGCATCGTAACTTTGTCCACATCGAAGGTTAAAAAAGAATTCTTTTTTTACATTGGGTTCTGCACACGATTGTAAGTATGTACACTGTATACGCGGGTTTCCTTGGAGCTCGAATGCTCCGAAAAATCAAACTGTAGATGAAGTGCAAGCTCCACGATAGCAGAAACAATTTGTCCGCGTTCGATGTTTGTAGGGGAATCGAAACGACGAGTTCTGAGGCGCGCAATTAAATCGCGAGATGCTAATCGCGGCGAGAAAGGGAACGCGCCTTTTCAATTAAGGAACATTTCAAGGTAACGGAACCGCGTCGGAGAAACTTACGATTCAGAATCTTCTTCCTGACAATTGGTTTGCTTTGTTTCCACGATACCAGCATCGATCCGTTCGAATCTAATGTATGAATTTTCCAGTACTGAAGAAACATGACAGTTATTGACAGAATGTACATATTACTGGTATTATAGAAAGAGTTGAAAATATAATATTTACTGAAATTATATTTGTTGGCATTTATTTACCCTCTGATATTTGCCGAACTTTCTATTGTAAAAAAAACATGGTGATTGTTTGGTAATATTAGAAAATATGAAAGAAATGACTACATGTTTTTGTACATATTTTTCTGTCAGTTTTCAGCAAGGAAGGATATAATACCTGTATTATACAGGGGGTAACAAAAATGTTGGAGGACCCGGAAATGAAAGACTCGTGAGGTGATTTGAAACAAGTTTTTCCTTAGCGAAAATATTGTCCGAGACTTTGTTAACGAGATATTAACGAAAAACCCCAACCAATCAGAGCGTGAGTCTGCCGGGTTAGCTCCAGCGGTAGCGTTGGTTACGTGCTGCGATTGGTAGCCAATACTACCGCGGGAGCTCGGTCGGCAGACTCGCACTATGATTGGGCGGGGTTTTTTGTTAATATCTCGTTAACAAAGCCTTGGATAACATTTTTGCTAAGGAAAAACTGGTTCCAAACCACCTCATGAGTTTCCCATTTTCGGGTCCTCCAACATTTCTGTTATACCCTGCGTATGCATATTTATTACCCGCTTTTTGGTTTTTAAACGGAATACTATATTTCCATGTCGATATCCTATTAAACAAAAAGGGTATGATTATAAAAGTGTTTATTTGAAGAAATGAAAACGGGATAAAAAGATTAACTATTGAGTTAATAGTTTAGATGCTTATCGCGCGACACCGTATAGTATAGGGCCTATAAAATTAACAGTAGAATAATAATCCATATATTGACTGTATTGCGAATAAATCCATAAATCATTATATTATTATTAGTAACTACTTAAAGAGGAAGTGCCTCGCGTGGCAATATAGAGTCCACTATATAAAGTTGTTTTTGAAACGACATAATTATCCGAACTTTCCCGAACAAAATAATGTAAATTTTTATTATTATGTAGACATCTAAATATATTAAAATAACGATCAAAGTGAAAAAGACACTAAAGGCACGCATATGTTTGCTGATATTTTTCAATTAATTTTGAAAACCAAGGGTCTGGGACAAAGTCTAACCATATTATACGATAGAACAGATGTTTCTGGTAAAGAAAGCGTCAAGGAAAGCTACAAGATCATGTTTTGTTTCTAATAGAGATGCGAAACCGTTTAGCAAAACATGCGAATGCAGCAGTGGTACTCAATGAAGGTGGTTGTTCTGCCTGTGCGCGTTCAGCGCTTCCGCTACGTTGATTGTGAGCGGAAGGAAGGCGACCACTGTTATTGATTGTGAGTACCACTACCGCAGTCGCGTGTTTTACTAAACAGTTTTGCTTCTTTATAGAAAACAAAACATAACCTTACAGCTTTCCTTGGCATAAATGTCTATTCTTCCACATGCTATGGTTAGATTTTCTCCTAGACCCTTAGTTTTTGAAATAAATTGAAGAATATCAATTTCATCAACATTTAATATAATTTCAATTAATAATATATTAAAAAATATAATCAAATTTTTATAAAATTTCGAAAATATCCAATCATCGATCTTCTCACTTTGATCGTTATTTGAATATATTTAGATGTTCGGAAGAGTCCAAAGAATTATCGTGTCAGAAGCAACTGAATAACTATTACTGTAAAAACATAATACACCTCCACAGTTAAACATTTTCAATTTAAAAAAAGAATTGAATTTTTCGAAAATTGTACGTACTGGAAAAAGCAGTTTGCAGATTCGTATTCAGCTCATAAAAATTGATCAAAAACGCCTATTAAAGGTGACAAAATCGAGAAATAGTTTAAATTTGTTGAACAGTGTAATTACTGCAGTGATCATATTAATTCCTTTGATTAAGTACCTATTCTCTACCAGGAGCAGTGTCTACTTATAAATTTTAAACTCTCTGCGTCTTTGATCAACAATTGATAATATGATTTTTCATCCTTCATTTGTTACTTATTAGATGTCTTTGCCTACAGAATATGTATATGTTATGTAAATGTTTATTGTTCCTAACACTAGAACTACCAAACAAGTCAAAATAACTTATAACGATGATTAAAATGTTATACGAATACATTTTCTCAAATCTTTCGCAACTTTTTTTGTGTTATAAAAGTGAAGAAATTAGTTAATTTAGTTTTTTCATTTGTGAATTTTTAAAAGTTTCTCATGTTATCTACCGATCGAAATAGATGCAGTACCCGCTCGATAGATGTACCACAAATAGATGCATCTTAAGCCCGTTACAGAGTCGAGCAGAGTCCGCGCTACGTATACGTGACATATATTTTACATTACTTGGTTCAACTAAATTACTTATTGCAACGGTTTAATCTTGAACTGAAAGGCCTTCCATGGAATCAAGGACTATTGCTTGTTCCTCTGTAGGATATTGCACTTGGAAAATTTTAGCATACGACGTTGTAGAAGTGGATTTGGTGTCACTGAGGCCATATTTCGGAAGAACACGTATTGCAAATGCCTTTATAGTCAGAAACACTTGCGGCTACTCCTTCTTTATAAATCACGAAATGAAACTACACAAGGAAGCTGGTTTATATACACTTTAATTTGTATTTATATGTTATTTTCATACTCGCCCACATTAGCTTGTGAATAAGTCTTATTTCGATGAAGGTTCGACCGCCCCTCTTTATAATATTTTGTCTTTATTTCATAAATTATACCTAAATGTATAATGATGTTGGATTTAATAATCAGAAATTAAAGAATAAAGAAAGAACTACGGGTACAGACTGAAATTGATATCACCACATTTTTCGACGATAGTAGAAGAAATTTGGAAATATTTGAGTATTGTTCACTAATAGAAAACAGTATTTATAAAACATTATATGCTTTCCTATCTTTCGCGTTAATGAACAGATTATTTTCCTTTGTTTCCAAATTTCTATCGCCATCAGATCAACTGTTTGAGTGATTGTTGTTGAGAGTTAAGGTATGCTACATACTAGCCGTACTTATTCCTCGATTTATTATATTCACAAATATTCCCTTGACTGGGTAACCAAAATAAATGATCTCAATTGAAATACATTATACGTAAAAATCGGCGTTATTAAATGTCTTTTCTAAATTATTATTTCAAAATTTCTGCCATATCTGTTACTGAACAGGCCATTGAGCGCATTCCTATTGACCCACTTGTAAAGCACATAACTCACTTTTCTTTTTTTTAATATCCTTTCCCCAAACGCAAACGTGTTTTATTCTCTTTCATACACTTCTACGTTCGAAAATGGAGTATTCGGTCACAGGTAAAAAAAGGCTCGGACATCAAGAAACAGTTCTACCTACCACGGTACTTTTAAATTAAAAAAATTGTGTGTTTTTATCGTGGTTAGTCTATATCGTTACCTTATTTTTAGCCTGAATGGAAGTACA